TGGCACGTTGCATTCATCTTCCTTGTGGAGCATGAAGTCAACGAGCCTTTCTCGATCTCCGTAACCAGCATTTAATCTGAACTGTATGTCTGGGGGAAGATTATTGAAGCTAGAGGTGGTTGCCCAAGCATCGACTAACTCGTTTGCCCTGTGTAGAGGGTGAGGGTGTGCTACTTGGCCGATCTTATCGCCTTTAATTCTTTTAATATCCTTCCATGCCTGGCTGAGGGGGGTGTGAGAGTTGAGACTGTTAACAAAAGTTTCCCAGTTATCTTGCCTGAGCTCTGTCATGCGCTCCCTCGCCTTGGCTAGGGCTTTCTGAAAGAGCTTGAGCATTGCTGGCGTACGTGTTTCCCTATATGCAAGCCCAACTCGTCTGGCAGTGCGTTTCAAAGTAAGCAGTTTGGGGTCATTGTAATAGGCATGGTGTTTATTACCTTTCATATCGTTCCAACTATTGGATGGTGCAGGGGGCCGACCTAAAGGGTCAGCAAACATCTGAATGCTCTGTACTAGACCGTCGTTAAATGTCTGGACTGTGGAGGGATCAGTTCACAGAGGTGACGTACAGTCTATTGCCGTGTGGAAATCAGTTCACCCTGGGCAGTCCTGAACTCCTGACCCGTTTCCTGCGAGGACAAGTGGCCACTGTCGGTAAGCAGTGTGTTGGCTGCTGTACTTAGGCAGTGTCATGTGGACCAACGTACCTGGGACTTGGAGGAGTTACTAGATGACAGTACGGTACTGGCCGTCTGCCGAGAAGTACTGCTAGCGTGTTACTAGAGACTTCTGCCAGGGTGTTAGAGACCCTTGGAAGTGATTTTGTGACCCCTGTCAGCATGTTGCTTAAAATCTGCCAGTGTTTTTCTGGAGAGCAGATGGGGGGGGGGGGGGGGGGGGTATATATTTGGACAGTGATATTACTGTGTGGAATGGCCCATGTTGAGGAAGGTGAACTCGCTAGTGATTACTATTGAGCATGGACAACTTATACTTAAAGATAGTGGACTCACTGGGATTTGAAGAACACTGCAGATATATTGAGTGTCCTGGGTGAAAGCAACACTGTGTACATAAATGTAGTTATACTTCGATAGATAATATATTGGGGGTGAAGGTGTTATTGCGTCTTTGTTTAACCCCCCCCCCTTTATTCCTTGCACAATTACTACTTACTCACATTCTTGAGAACTTACCATTGACTTGGGGTGGGATCACAGAAGAGGAGGCTATAAGGCACATTAAACAGAAAGAACCCGATTACTGGCTCAAGCAGGCCGGTAACAGTATACAGTACTACTAAAGGAATAGGAAAAATATACTTTACATGATTATGAATTTATTTAAAAAAGAACAATTAAGTAATTTAACAAAATATGAGTGATAACCAAACACTGCATGGATACAGGTTTACCAATAAAAAGTATTCATTTTCATGATAATCAGGTAGTGTCAAACTCCTTATAAAACATAATTAACTACAAATGACAAAGTTAATGTACTTGATAAGTACTCATCCATTTAAATTATAGCAAAGTAGTATAAGTACTGTATCACAACTTAAAGCTTTTTAATGTTGTAATTCATATAGAGGTCACAAATAAAATTTATTACTACAGTACTGTAGTGACCAGTAATTTTAAAAGTAATATTTAGTTTTCATGCCACATGAAGTATGCCCAAAGAAATGGTATTTCAATTCATTAATGATTCTCATTTCCAGATATACAATTTCTACAACCACTGGTAAGGCTTCCCATTTTGTGGAACAGGAAGCCTGTACTTGACTTATTAACCACTGAACTGCTCTGCCTCCAAATATGGCAACCCCCTGGTGCGCAGGAAATAAATTCTTTCCAAAAAATGTTGTTCTTTTCTTTATTGTTAAAATGCAGTCTCTGATCACAGGAAACTAAACAAAAATATTGTATGTAACATACATTAGCTGCGATGAAGCTGGGAAGTTGAGCAAATTATGGGCACTGAACGATGGAGCACTGGGGTCAGTCGGCCCCGCGACCCCGTGGGGCGGCAGTTGCCGTAAATATAATGTATCTCAATAATTTTGATATTTCTCATTTGTTTCTTCTTTTGAATAATATTACAGAAAAAACAAGTGTGTAATTTGTGGAATTTATATAGTTCAGTGTGGAACATCGCTATGCTCAAAATTATGGGGCTCATATGTGACATATACTGTATATTATATTCTACGATCAATCAGTGTTTTTGCTGTTATTACACTATATATATTGTATATACCCATCTACATAAGTGTTCACCATAACAAACCATTAGGTTGGTATGGTGAACCCCCCAAATAATGAGTGAGCTGCCACACCCAGCCAGTCCTCCTTCCCTCCCCCAATACCTTACTCGCCAACATTCCTCCTCCCACCATACTGTTATTGTTTTTATTACACTATTTACACACGTTATGTATAAGTATCTAAGTGTTTTATTCACCATAACTATACAACTAAGCTGGTATTGTGTGTCCAAACAGCACAGTGGCCACCATGCACTATATGACAAGTCACACAGCAGACGACACTACGAGTACGGCGCTACCACCTTCACCAAAATGTCTCCTCCCAACATACTCCTGTTGCTGTTATTACACTACGGTATATACACACGTTATATATAAGTATCTACATTGGTGTTCACCATAGCAAACTTCTAAGCTAGTATGGTGAGCCAAACAAGAGTGGTTGCCACACAGTGATGCTACTTAGATTCCCTCCCTCTTCACCAAAATTTCTCCTCCCACAATACTATGCACAGCGCTAATTATCACCACAATCCTGGTCACTAAATCCTGTAAATGAATATTTGACCACAAATTTATTTTGTAAAGGAACACAAGTCATTTGAAGATTCCTAGATGGACAAAAAATGCTGTGGTGCTGTGATCATTTGAACAGCATTGATTCACTGATATTTGAACATTGTACACAGTCATTATCACACTCAGGCTCTTCTGTAATACTATCATGGCTAAATAATACCAGTTACATATATTTTTTACATTATTAGGCGATGCTGTTGTCACAAGCTGAAGAGCAGAGCTGTTAGCTCATGCTGCGTGCGCCAGCCTTGGTTGCTCACTCAGTACTGAGGTTTTCACACCTGGGAATGTTGCCCATGATTTTTTTTTTAAATAGGGTCTGTTTACAAGAGCCCTGAGGAAGCTGATGTGAACCCCATGCAGCCGAGAGAGTTGTGAATTATACGCTATACCTATAAGATCCCTGAGGCGCTTTGCGCACCACCCGTCAAGCTCCTACAGGCGCGTTGCGTACCGCCCGTCAAGCTCCTACAGGCGCGTTGCGCAGTGCAGTGGTTTTAAGGTTCATGTAGGGGCAACTTCTGACCTTCCCCAGGATGCAACCCACAATAATTGCCTAATTTATAGGTCCCAATTTATTGGCAAGTGAACCGAGGCATCAGGTTCAAGGAAACATGCCCACCAGTTTCTGTTCTACCTTGGAAATCAAGCTTTGGACCCTCAGTTGTGAGCCAATGACAGTTCACAAAGACCTCAAAAATTATATTACCCAGAACAAAAGCAGAACAAATAGTTTTAAATAACAGGGGGGGCCCTTGATATATAAATTAAGATACATTCATGAAAATTACTCTATAAAACAAGCCCTATACAATCTATATTCATATTTACTCTACAGTACTTTAATTACAAAATTGAAGGCACATTCCCATGGGAAAAATCTTCCCCAATATGCAATAGTCTTACACAATGTAGAATTAAAAAAAAAATGTACAGTACCTGTATTTAAATTTAAAATAAAAATTTTACTTAAAATTGCAATAAAATACTATCAAGGTAAGTGTGAAATGCAGGCAATGACAAATAACAGACCAAGTATTGCTTGATTATTCTCTGTTATTATGTGGATAATACAAGTTCTGTAAATTGGAATTTAGCATAATATTTACTGGAATCAAAGCCATTCCCAAATTTAAGTTACAATACTGTAAGTAAGTAATTATCAAACGAAGGCACCAAACCGGTACAATACTGTAAATTATAGCAAAATTCCATTAACCTAATTGCCTTATAAAAAAAAAGAGTTATATTTATTGTACAAGTTCATCGCAGTATTTTACTACCAATACAAAAAAAAAGAATTGAATATAATTTAAAGCCAATTTCTGGGCGAGACCCGGTGGCTCCCTGTAGCAAACATCACCGATGTGTGCAATGTCAAAAAGTTGCCGTCAGATGTGCAGTTCTCGGGCCCACTGGAGACCCAGAGCCAGAACCTGGTCTCCTCACAGAGGCACAGCGAGCAGTGGCATTTGTGTTTTTATATGCCACCACCAGGGAAGGCATCCAGAAAGTCAGAGACAAAAACCACATTTGGCTACTTTCTATACATGCAGACATGTATAGAAAGACATGTCTTCAAAGAAGACATTCTTCAGCACAAAGCCTTAACACCGAGTATCTTGGAGACACCCCAGATCCAAGCACTGGCACCAGCTTGACCCGATTCTTACCAGGTGTGCAAGCCTACCCAGCGTCAAGATTACGCGTAGCTACCAGAGTGCTGTCTGTGACACCGACCACTCCCTGGTATGTAGCAGGGTCAAGATGCAACCAAAGAAGATTCATCACTCGAAAAAGGCGGGCAGACCTCGCATAGACACCACCAAGACCCGCAACCAGGACAAGGTGGAAGATTTTGCACGCGTGCTCGAGGAAGCTCTCCCTGGCCCAGCCGGGGTCACTGCCTGTAAAAGATGAGAGCACTTCAGAGACGCTGTGTTCAACGCTGCCATTTCTACCTTTGGCAAGAAGACCAGCAGGTCGGCAGACTGGTTCGAGGCTCACTCGGAAGAGATGACACCTGTCATCGAAGAGAAGAGAAACGTCTTGGCAGCCTACAAAGCCTGCCCAAGTCAGCGCAACTTACAGATCCTTCGGGCCGTCCGCTGCAAAGTGCAGCAGAGCGCCAGGCAATGTGCCAACAACTATTGGCTCCAGCTCTGCTCCCAAATACAAACTGCAGCAGATACAGGCAATGTAAGAGGAATGTATGACGGCATCAAGCAGGCCCTCGGCCCAATCCTGAGGAAGACCGCTCCTCTGAAATACCCACATGTCAGGAGGACCAAACACGAAGAGCGGAGGTCGGCTCAGTGAGAAGCGGCTGCTCGACCTTCTGTAAGATGTGGAGCTGCGGAAAGATGGCCGGATTCGAGCACTGCGGAACCAGTGCTAGAAACCAGGGGTGGGTCAGCCACCAAGGAACCAGACGGAGCACACACCCCCCAGAAGGACTTCAAACTTTCCAGGGCCTGGAGCAACAGCTGGACTGGAAAAAAGAGGTACAGAAACCCTGAACTTGCCCAGTCTTGCTGAAAGGCTTCCACTGCAAGAGCCTTGCAGTCAGGGAATAGGGCTACAGAAGAGGAAGATGCTGACATGAAGAGGTCCACGTCTGGGCGACCAAACACCCTGCACAGCCATAGGAAGGCAACAGCATCGATGGTCCACTCTGTGGAGATGGGACAGAACAGGATAGACCGTCGGCCAATACGTTGGACCCTCCCAGGGCACGAAAGGAATAGGTAAACTGTGGTAGCTGTGGGGCATCCAATTGGGCATACAATCTGGACCTAGAGAAATGTAACTGAAATGTAAATGTATCTAGAGTAACCTAGAGAAATGAAGACAAAGATCAGTTACCGAGTGGCAAACCCAAAAGTTATCAGGAGGGCTGGAAGATGACTTGCACAATGGGAACACGCCCTGCAGGACTCAGGTTGGCAGCAGGTGGAGGAAGGGTTAATAAACACGGCCCGGTGGGACATAATACTGTATACACCCATAACCTCGGAAACAGCGAGGGCAGGGTCAATGGGTAAACCCATGTGAACTGCTGAACCTGCTGGGGATTCAGCCTGTCCTCTTAAGGTTTCCTAACGTCAAGAAAATGGTAAATTTAAAGTGTCTTCTCCTAACCTACCAGAGGACACAAAACAGAAAATGGGACAGTACGTCACTCAAGAATGCTACTTCCATTTTCTAGTACCACAATTTTTTACTTTATGTAACATATACAAGTGAAAAGGAACATTCTTTGTGCGAGGACAGGTTAGGGAATTTCCATGGCCTGAAAGCTGGAGCTAAGTGGGAAGCTCAGGCACTAGGACATGACACCGGTGCTCTCTAGTAAATCAGCTTAACCTGGACCACTCGGTTAGAAGAATCCACCTCAGTGCACTGTAATGCAGCTGCAAATAACCAGTGATGCTCCACCAGCCAAAGATGTTCAAAACCAGGGGAAAGATGAAGGGTGAAAACCACAGACTCACCCCAAATTGAAAACTACCACAAGCAAGGCAGATCTTCAAAGGAATGTCCCCGAACACTTCTGGGAAGAGGTCCCTGGCAATGCAAGGGAAGAACTAGGGAGTGCACAGAGAAGAGAACCATGAGCACATGAAGCTCCTAGTGAACAAAACTCCTGGTGCACTCACACTAAAAGCATAAAGAACCGCCACCAGGGCAAAAGATCTCCAAGAAAACAACACTGGGGCCAGAGTGACTGTGGCAGCCCAACATATCAGAGGAGAACTGACTACTGTGTGGCCTAGGAACCACAGACTGCCCACCCCCACCCCAAAACGAGGGTGGGGGTGGGGTAAACGAGTATTTTAATGATTTTGGCCATTTGTCTATCTAGTTTAGAGAGTTCTTTGGCTATTGTGAGTCTGCAGATATAAAAAGTAGCCAATGGTGGAAACTAAACAACAAGACTACTGTTTTGTCTTGGCAACTTTGCGTGCCTTCCCTGGTGGTGGCATATAAAAACACACATGTCACTGCTCCCTGCACCTCTGTGAGGATACCAGGCTCTAGCACAGGGTCTCTAGTATGCCAGAGAACTGCACAACTGATGGCAACTTTTAGACATTACACACATTGGAGATGTTAGCTACAGAATGCCACAAGGGGGCCCTTTCAGAAATATAGCCACTTAATCACAGAAAACATGTAATATTTGATACAAATGCTTCTTATTATCAATCTTCCTAAATTGTTCAGTGTTTGTGACCTGATTTGTTTCACAAGCTGGTAAAATAAACTTACATCTTATTTGTAAAGACACCTAACCAAAAAATACTAATCCTGATGTGTTCTAAAATTACTTAAAATAATATGAATGAATGAATGAATACTGACAAATAAAATTGATAAAGTATTGGATGTGAATGAACTTTTTAATTGATAGCCAATGCATCTGACTGAGCCTCCATACTTAACTGGTTCTGCAAATCTGAGAGTTTCTTCTTAAGAGCTGCAATCCCCATCATTACAATATTCTCTGGCTTAAGAGCTCCTGCACTCTCAATATTGTAATAGTACTTGTTGGGTTTAGCTGTTGGATCAAACTCTGCCTGGGCTGTAAGAAATTAATCAGTTTATGTATAAGGAATAGGGACTTTTGGACTACATTGTAAAATATTTTCAAGTTTGCTGGTCCACTTTTTCCTTGGCACCGATATAAAACTGGTTTCATTCCCAGAAAGATCAAAATGTAGCTTCAGCTGTATTACAGTATGAATGCTAAAGATTAAAAAACCAGCATTGAATGTAATGAAACAGCATTTTCAGGGTGAGACCTGGAGGCTCCCCAGAGCTATCCAGGCTGATATGTATCTCTTTAGAATTTGGCATCAGTCGATGTGGGTGGAGTTCTAGGCCTACCAGGGACCACAATTCAGAACCTGGCCCCCTCAGAGAGGTACGAGGAGCAATGGCGTATAGAAACGCACGTGATTTAAAGCATTTTATGTCTGTCATCGACCGGGTAAGGCCCCCAGAGGTAAGTGCCTCAAAACAAACCTCTATTCTGGTTAAAAATAGACAAACGGCTGGACAGAACTCCCTAAATGAAAACGAGCAAACGAGCATGATGTCATACGAGCCGCGCCGCATGTCTTCGCAGCTCCCCCCTCCCCGGGAGGGGAAGGGGTAAGGAGGAAGGGAAAGCCCTAGACCCTACAGTCCTTGCACCACTGCTGTTCCTTATTCTCGTATCAGATATAGACAAAAACACAAGTCACAGCTTTGTGTCATCCTTTGCAGATGATACAAAAATCAGCATGAAAATTACCTCTGCTGAAGACATTGATAAACTACAGATATTAACAAAGTTTTCAATTGGGCAACAGAAAATAACATGATGTTTAACGGTGATAAATTCCAGGTACTCAGATACGGCAAAAATGAGGATCTTAAACATAATACAAGGTACAAAACAGAATCGAATCTGCCCATAGTAGGAAAACAGCATGTCAAGGATTTGGGAATAATGATGTCCGACGAACTAACATTTAGGGAGCATAACCAAGCAAGTATTGCGTCAGCCAGAAAAATGATAGGATGGATTACGAGAACCTTCAAGTCCAGAGATCCCATCACAATGGTTGTACTCTTCAAATCACTTGTGTTGTCCCGTCTTGAGTACTGCTCAGAATTACACTTCCCCCTTCAGAGCAGGAGAGATTGCCGAAATTGAGGGAATACAGAGAACATATACGGCACGCATAGACGAGATAAAGCACCTAAATTATTGGGATCGTCTCAAAGCTCTCCAAATGTACTCACTAGAAAGGAGACGAGAGAGATACCAAATAATATACACATGGAAAATACTGGAGGGACAGGTCCCAAATCTGCACAGTAAAATAACAACATACTGGAGTGAACGACATGGAGAAAATGCAGAATAGAACCAGTGAAGAGCAGAGGTGCCATGGGCACAATCAGAGAACATTGTATGAACATCAGAGGTCCACGGTTGTTCAACGTTCTACCAGCGAGCATCAGAAATATTACAGGAACAACCGTGGACATCTTCAAGAGGTAAAACTAGATTGTTTCCTTCGAACCCGCGCCAAGAGTGCCGGACCAACCGGGCTGTGGTGGGTACCGGGCTGTGGTGGGTATGTGGGCCTGCGGGCCGCTCCAAGCAACCGCCTGGTGGACCAAACTCTCACAAGTCAAGTCTGGCCTCGGGCCGGGCTTGGGGAGTAGAACAACTCCCAGAACCCCATCAACCAGGTAACCCCCGCGCCGGCGATCCACACCCCAGTTTTAAGTCTGGATATCAAAAATGCAAAAACCGCAGAGTTGCCAAGGAGCCTCCAGGACTCGCCCATATATTGACGTTTCATTACATTCAATGCTGGTTTTCTGGGGGAAGCCCCGTTGGCTTCCCGGAGCTACCTACCAAAGATCAGGAAAAGAGGGACGGACCCAGGAGGTGGATGCCAAACGCCCGAACTCAAAAACAAGACAACAGGCCTAACCAAAGGACTGCACACGACCTGGAAGACCAGAACCTCAGAACAGGATGCGCAGAGAACAGCGAAAAGCCACAACCAAATGCAACACACGATGTAGCCTCAGCCCGAACAACCAAGCATCAACAACCCAAGGACCCTCTAGAAAACAGCAGACCCAAACATCACCAGAAAAGAAAGACTACCGCTAACGAACAAACCTACCACCAGGACTAAATGAGCAGAAAAAACTCGTCCGCTGGAGGAGAGCCGAAAGCTCCTCGATGAGCCCCAAGAGGCCTGGCGAGCAGAGAGACAGACTGACTGGGAGCCCAAACCAGTCAGTCGTCAAGGTAAGCCAACACCCGAACACCTAACAGACAAAGATGGGCCACCATGACCCGGGTAAGGCATGTGAACACGCGAAGTGCCAGGTTCAACCCGAATGGGAGACAACGAAAGTGGTACCTCTGACGCCCCACAACAAAACCGAGCCAGTCCCTAAACCCATGGATGAATCGGGATGTGCCAAGAAGCATCCATGAGGTCCAGGGACACCATCCAAGCGCCTGGCTCCAACAGAAGAAGGACCTGGGGCAGAGCAGTCAATGAAAGGTGGGGGCAAGAAACCAGGGGGTCAGACGGGGACAAGTCCAGAATGAGCTGCAGGTTTGCACAGTCCCATTTCGGAACTGGAAACAGGTGGGAAACCTACCTGAGAGACGTGGTCGTTTCGACCACGCCCAAACGCACCCACTCCAAGATGATCTGACATAGCGCAGAAGAAGGCTGCCCTGCCAGCCCCAAACCCCCTCGAAGGAGGAGGCCACTCCCCCTCATCGCCGAGCACAGAGCGAGCACCGCACCGACCAGACACAAACGGTTCCAAAAGTGGCACCAGCTTTGAAACTGGCCCTTGTGGGCTACCCTGCGAGCCCAGGCACGACCCCTCCAGGAAGAACCCACTTGGGACCCCCAGAGAACCAACAAGTCGGACATCGGACGGCAGATGGAAGAAGCCGCCTGCAAATACAACTCAACCGCAGATGTCACAAACATCAAAGGACAAAAGAGCAAAGACTACCCAAGAGCCAGGGCCCAAGCGGATTCCAAGGAAGACGCGAGCACCACCCGTCTCCATGCGAGACGCGCAGCAAAAAAACGCGACAGATTATCCCGCCGGATCGGCACAAACAGCTTCAAAAGCGCAGACGATGCATGAGCAGCCGAGACCAAGGCGCCAGACCCAGGAACAGCCCCAAGCACCTCAACATCCTCCTGCACCTGAAAGTGAATTACGCCAGCATCCCGCAGAAGAGCAGGAGCACTATATACCTGTGTATATAGTGTAATAACCGATAAAGTATTTGTTCACTGATGAACATAATTGAATCAACAATATGCACATCATATTTTTGAGTACAGCGATGATTCACTCATTTTATTATATAAATGTATCACACTACACACTATTGAATAATATTACAGCAAAAAAACTACAAAAAATCAATCAGAGACATTGAAATAATTAGGTAATTATCTTTTTGTGGCCACTCCTGCCCAACAGCTGGGAGCAACAGACCGTCTGGGACGCACGCTGAGTCAGCACCTGTTTTTTTGCCAGACTTCCCCGCCCTATAGCTGGCAATATATGCCACTTACGATTTTTTTTTATTTTTCCCATAATCAGAGAATACAAATTAACAGGTTTAGATTTTTTTTTTGTATGTGCCTGTGGGTGACCAATGCTAATTAGCCCTGAGCAACACAAGGGTTAAGGTGCTGAAAGTCGCCCTCCAAGTAAACCTGGACCAGTCAATGCCTTGCCCCACTCAAGCGTGCGGGTACGACAGACGGCGTCCCAAACATTTAAAGAGAACAATGAGCAGTCTGGAAGCCAGGATGACTCTGGAATCTCGTAATGAACCCAGTATGGAGACGAAGATCCATTATAAAGGCATACTCCAGGTCCCACAGAAGGTAAGCCGCAATGGCCACTCGCACATGGTCCCGGCAGCCATTCCGAGCAACGTACTGCACTTGTACTGTGAGGAGCAAATGGTTTAATGGCTGGTACTGTGAACCAGTACCAGCTGCACCCAGTAACCTGTGCCCCAACCAGTGCAAGCTACCCCTACTCAAAGGCAAACAAGGGTGCACGAAACACCAACACACTAAGGGCGGTCAAACACCGAGCAGCAAAAGATCAAGTAGAGGTAGATCCCAAGGTGACTTGTGGAAGGTGGTCTCAAGCCCCAGGGGCTGTACTTACAGGGCACCTAGGGAAGGTGACCCTAGACACATGCAGCCTGAGTACTTATGAAATTTCTCCTGGGTCATGCACCACCAGAAAATTAACACCACAACACTAGGCACAGAGCTTAAAGACAGGAAAACAGGAGTCAGCATCACACGACTGTTGCCAATCACATCAGCCAAAGAACTGGGGTCTGAGGCTCCCCATTCCACCTCCCGGGGAGGGGGGAGCTGTGTAGACAGCGGAGCGTGGTGACGTGGTGATCTCAGACTCGTTTGCTCGTTTTCATTTGGGGAGTCTGTCCACTAGTTCGGCTTTCAGTAGCAATTTCTTAACCCAAATAGAGGTTTATTTTGGGGTGCTTACCTTTCTGGGTGCCTGACCCAGAAAGTGGTGGTCCCAGGTAAGCCTAGATCTCCATTCACAGTGACTCATGCCAAAGTCTAATATATCCACATCAGCCCTGATAGGTCCAGGGAGCCGAAGAGTTTCCCCCCAGAAAACGCCCCCCAAAAATGCGAGCTCACACACCCAGCTGGCCTATGTAAACAAGACAGCTTGCTGCCCTGGTTGCAAGCTGTAAAGGCTCCCTCAATAAAGCAAAATGGCTGCCAAAACAAATCACGAAACTGCAGCAACACCAGCCAAAAAGAGATGCGCCCGACACAAGAGTGCTTAAATTATGCCTGCAAATGTGGTAAAACCAAAGCAGAAGGGGAGGAGGGGATGAAAAACCTTTCTCCCCACCGCAAAACCCCCAACCTAGAAGGCACAAAGGCCCATGCGGGGCAAACATTCCAAGCGCTCCAAGCGGGTTCCCCCCCAAAGCCTCGAACAATCCCAGACAGGCCCTGAGGCAGAGCCCTCATTCATGCCCACCACCCCGGAAGAAAAGGCAGAGTCCAGGAGAAAGACTTCAAAGGAGAGAGTCCGTTGGGTCGACCAACAAGGCTAGGCGGGATAAATAGGCTCAATCACCTCCGTGCCCTATTTGGAAGGGGTGGCCCCCGAAGCCACCCGAGTCTCATCCCGAGCTAAATCCAACCCTGACTTCAAAACCCTCAGACGTCTGGGAGCCGCCAGCTTGAGGAAGAGCTGGAAGGAAAGAAAAGGGAAGAGAAGGGAAAGGAAGAGAAGGGAAAGGAAGAGAAGGGAAAGGAAGAGAAGGGAAAGGAAGGGAAGGGAAAGGGAAAGGGAAAGGGAAAGGGAAAGGGAAAGGAAGGGAAAGGAAGGGAAAGGAAGGGAAAGGAAGGGAAAGGAAGGGAAAGGAAGGGAAAGGAAGGGAAAGGAAGGGAAAGGAAGGGAAAGGAAGGGAAAGGAAGGGAAAGGAAAGGAAAGGAAAGGAAAGGAAAGGGGCACGGAAAAGACCTAAGTCGATGTGACTAACGCCCCCAAATCCAGGTCCCTAAACAAAGTAGGGCAGCCCCAGGGCTTCCAACTGAGTAATCAACCGGGCACATTACAACATTAAAAACCTGAACTGCAATGCAGCTGCTGCGGGAGTGCTAATGAGTGGATAGTAATAGTTTACTCTTGGGGGTAGTTCTTGGGCACTGTTTGATCTTGGGTTGCAATGTTTTACCAGTAGGGGTTTGTAATGGTTCACTCACCTGTCTGTGTGATACCCCCGGTCGATGGCAAACATGACTACTCTCTCACAAAGTGGAGTTCATAAGCCATTGCTCCCTGCGCCTCTCTGAGGAAACCAGGTTCTGGTTCGTGGTTCCCAGTAGGCCAAGAACTCCAATTAACCAATGCTCTGGACTAAAATATTGTACATCAGTCCCATTAGCTTCAGGGAGGCGACTGGGCTCACCTCAGAAAAATTGGTATAAATGCGATTGACAAATAAGAATATTGCTCCAGTAATACACAAGTAAAATTTATGCAAGTTATTTTTAATTTATAACCTAGCAAAGGCCATGAGCTATGCAGTTTATTTGTCAACATGACAAAGATATGAAAAATAATACAAATATTATATATACAGTACAGTATTACATTAATATTTAATTTAGGATACAAACTAGGGCCCCCAAAATGTCTCAATGCTATTTATCATAAACTTGAAAGTTAGCTAATGATAAAGAATGTTACTTACGTGTATTTTCATCCAAGGTAGAGTATTCACTCTTGGGCCATTCTTCTGGCTTTGGGAGAAGAGTATGCCTCTGAGCGTTGTCTGGGTCGTACTCAAAGGCTACACTGATTGTGGGGTTCCACTTTGCATGCTCCTTGCCAAATCCTTTAACAGCATAAGCTCGGAGTCTTAATGACTGACCTTTGCGAAGCTTAACTATAAGAATGTCTGGAGAAAATAAAAAATGAAACTCAAATTACACAAGTATACGGTTTAAATATTTGTCATTTCCTGACAAGTGCACGAGTGAGTAAACATTCAAACATGCACCAATGCCACATTTCCTCAAATGAGGCTCTGTACACATTACATAGACAACATAACACTTTGCCCAAGAATATGCCTTTATATTTTGTCCTTGTAGCCCTAACAATTTGGTTGAAGGATTCAAATGGTTAAGTGAGACTGAATATGATCTGAATTTCATTAGGCAAAAATATGGTCACAGAAAAGTAAAGACAAGAACAGGCAGTAAATGGGTAACAATGTCTGCAGGACACAACCGTGAACACAGTAACACATGCTATTCGAGCGTATAATAATAGTTTTGGTTGTGTGTTATGACTGCAAAGGGAAATTACAGAAGACTAAGTCCTCATGTTTGTTAGTGTATTTTTGCTCCCCAAAAAACTGAAAATTGAAACCATTCTACAAAATATATTTCATAGAAGCAATTTTGATATAAAAATAGGGAAAGAATAATATACTAAAGATTGCATTAATAAAAACCAGCATCTTTTGAATATAAACCAATGAAAAATAATATGGTTCAAATACAATGCAAGTTTGTGACTAAGGGTCTTGCACAAATTTGTCTGTGAGTGCGAGTCTACTGTATGCTTATCATACAAATTATGTTAATAATCATAATAATAATATTATTATTATTACCATTTTAAACCCAAATTCTATGGTTCATTTTCATTTTGAGTTGGCAAGAATTTTGTTCACTCAGGTATGGCCCTGCTACCTTTTGAAAATAAGTTTTGAGGCTGGGGATAAGAGAAATAAGCTAGAGGTGTTATATTTGTTTGCAGACAGGTTCATTAAGTGGTTGTCTATGATATTATAGGTTGGAATGAAAATTAGGCCAAGTGAAATTAGCATAGGGCAAAGGACATTAATGCATCCTGGAGGGATCTCCAGTTGCAAAAAAATCACTCGCTGCAAAAAATTTGGGTTGGTCCCATATAATTTGTTGAATCAAGGTGGTACTGTACAAGCCAAAATGCATAAAACACAATAAAAACTCATGCCATGCAAATCACACCCACACACACCATACAGGTTTTGTTAGTATATTAAAGTATGCAACAGGGCGACACCAAAAAATAGATTTAACCACTGCACTGAGCACCTGGTTTCTGCAAAAATGTTTTAGTGCAATTGTCAAGGACATATTCTAGTTGTTTTTATAAATATTCAGGTAAAGTTAATGTCAAAGTGTTTCCAAACTCAACTATTTCCATTTCAAAACAGAGTAATGAAAACATGAAAAAACATTAAAATATAGCCTAACTAAAAAAAATAGCACAACTCTCAGTGTGCCTAAAGGAGCTTTGCACAGTGTGTGCCTAAAGGAGCTTTGCACAGTGTGTGCCTAAAGGAGCTTTGCACAGTGCAGTGGTTAACCCTTAAATTGCACAAAATGTCAAATGAACAATTGTAAAGCATATACAATCATTCTCCTCATGCGCACTCACCATCAGATTCACCATATTCACTAGCTTCATCCTCACGGTGGCGTGAGGTGACTGGTATTACTCTGGCATCCGAAGACTTGAGATCTGCCGTGGTGATTTGACGTGTATGGTCATCCTGACACTTGACATCTAAAGTAAACTCTACTGAACATTCTGGGCAATAGTCTGTGCATAAGCAGTCCTGTAACAATAAGGTCAAGAATCAATACATAATCCAAGATGGACATTAACCCTTCAAGGGCGCAATACATACATAGACGATTGGAGTAAATGTCACAGAATGGCACACATCATACATAGACGAATGAGGATGCTACACATGATTTAAATGACCCACTTGTCATGCAATTTTTTTCTGGCCACTATGTTGTTTGGACACCATACCAGCTTAGTTATACAGTCATGGTAAATAAAACATGTAGATACTTATATATAATGTGTGTGTGTATATAGTGTAAAAACAGCACAAACAGTATAGTGGGAGGAGGAATGTTGGCGATTGAGGGAGGAAGCGTCAGCTGACTGAGTGGCGACCTCAATTATTGTCTTGACTCACCATACCAACTTAGTGGTACATCTACATTTACACATATGTAGATACTTGTATATATATGTATATAGTGTAATACCAGCACGAACAGTATGCTGGGAGGAGCCATTTTGGCGAGGGAGGTGTTGGTGGGGGAGGTTGGTTAGCATCGTCTGCTGGTTGATATATTGGTGGCCACTATGTTGTTTGGATATCATACCAGCTTAGTTGTACAGTTGGTTCACACATTTTATTATATAAATATACCACACTACACATTATTGAATACAGTAATATTACTGAAAAAAATCAATGAATCAGACATTGAAATAATTGGGAAATAATACCTTTGTGGCAACTTCCACCTGTCAGCACAGGTGGAGCAAAGCATCACATGAAGCTTACTCTGTCAATGCACCAATTTTCAAAGAATTCCCCGCCCTATGCGACCAAACTATGTCACCTAAGATTTCTTTTATTATTTTTACCGTGATCAGGGAATACAAAGGAACACTTGAGATGATTTTTTTTTTTTACTTTTTGCACCTGGCAGTGTTGAAGGCTATTAAGGCAGGCACCTCTCAAGGGTTAATAATTTGGCCCCATAATGACGTTCTAGAATTCATTAAAAAAACCAGCATTGAATGTAATGAAACGCCACTTTCTGGGCAAGTCCTGGAGGCTCCCCGGAGCTATCCAGGCTGATATGTATATCCCTAAACTTTGGCATCAGTGTAAATGGAGTTCTAGGCCTACCGGGGACAACAGCCAGAACCTGGCCCCCTCAGAGAGGCACGAGGAGCAATGGCCTATAGAAATGCACATGGGATTTGGAGCATTCTATATCTGCCATCCTGGGTGCCAGGACAGGCACCCAGAAAATAAAAACGTTACTAAAGTGAAACGAAGTAATGCAAACCATAAGGTCAGAAAACTGGAAAGAGTATAAACATTGAAGTGTGATGGAGTGCTCACGGCCTACTTTGACCTTTGCTGGGCAGTGCATGTGCCGAGCTGAACTGATAGGTAGTATGCAGGCCAAACCGGCAGAACAAAGTGTTAATCACTAAGCTATACCTTAGAATGTTAAATTTAAATTATAATAAAGTTGGGCCACTTTACCTGTCTAAACAATCTACAAATGTTAAAAAAAAATATATCAATGGACTTAATGCCTAGGAAACCCAAAAGCAATAGAAGTTTGTTATGGTAGTACTGTATGGTTTTTATTTTTTACTATATTGGAAAATAAATTAAAATGTCCACTGGAATGACAATGCATTCATTGGACTTGAATGTAGCCAAAAATTTGAGTAAAATAAAGTATAACAAGTATTTAAAAACTTTTTGTTTTAACTAACTTTGGTATCAAATAGTATGCAGTTTTGTGTTCATTGCCATAATTTGTAATGTGATGATAATGTTTGGTATAAAATGACAGACAATGCTAAATTTGGGTGGCTGTGAACTTGCAGTTGCAACAAAAGGGATATGGTACAACTCTGTACATTTGAATAGATGTACAGTATGCTGTACTGTACTTTCAGAATAAATGTACTGTACATATTTGTGACCAGCAATTTATATAGCTTTTAGTATCTAAAAAACCAGCGTTGAATGTAATGAAACGCCATTTTCTGGGAGAGTCCTAGAGGCTCCCAGGAGCTATCCATGGTTGATATGGATATCCCTAACTTTGGCATCAGTCGATGTGGATGGAATTCTAGGCCTACCGGGGACCACGAGCTAGAACCTAGCCTCCTCAGAGAGGCACGAGGAGCAATGGCCCATAGAATGCACATGTGATTTTGGAGCATTCTATATCTGCCATCGACCGGGATAGGCACCCAGAAAAGTAAGCACCACAAAAACCCCTATTCTGGTTAAAAACAAAGAAAATAGACAAATGAGTGGACAGAACTCCACAATTGAAAACGAGCAAACAAGCATGACATCACATGAGCTGTGCCGCATGTCTGCGCAGCTCCCCCCTCCCTGGGAGGGGGGAGCCAGTTCACCAGGAACCTGAACCCGAAAAGCTGGGAAAGCCCCAAATCCCTGGCAAGCAGACACGCGGACCGATTGGGAGCCCAAACCAGCCAGTCGTCTAGGTAAGCCAACACCCGAACACCTAACATCTGAAAGAAGGGGGCAAAAAACCCAGGGGTTCAGACGAGACAAGTCCAGAATGAACCGCAGATCCGCATACTGTAGTCCCGTTTCGGAACTGGAAACGGGCGGGAAACCCACCTGAAGGACGTCGTCGTTTCGATCACGCACCCACTCCAAGATGACCTGACAGAACGCAGAAGAGGCCTACCCCACAGCCCTGAACCCACTGGAGGAGGAGGAGGCACCCAATGCCACTGAAGGCTGCAAGAAATGACCCGAAAAGCCCACAAATTGTGGGACCAGGCATGAGCAAACAGAGCAAGCCTCCCCCCCCACATCATCCCATCAAAGGGGTGAACCATGAAAGGGCTGGTGCCCCGTACGAGAAACTGACCTGTGCACAGAGCAAACACTGCATCGACCAGGCACAGCCAGGACTGCTGGTGGCACCAGCTCCGAAACTGGCACCTGTGGTCCACCTTGACAAGCAGAACCGCGGGCCCTGGCACGACCCCTCTGGGAGGAACCCACCCAGGATCCCCAGAGAACCAACAAGCCAGACATATTAGGGAAGCTGGAGGAAACCGCTTGCAAATATTGTTCGACCGCAGAAGGCGCAGACAATAAAGGGCAAAAAGGCAAAGACAATCTAAGAGCCAGGGCCCAAGCGTATTCCAAGGAGGAAGCGAGCACCACCTGCCAACACACGAGGTGCGCAGCGAAAAACTGCAACAGCATATCCCGCAGAATCGGCGCAAATAGCTTCAAAAGTGCAGATGATGAACAAGCAGCCGAAGTCAAGGCGCTAGATCCAGGAACGGCCCCAAGTGCTCCTACATCCTCCTTAAGCCAGTCGGAAGACAGCTCAAGGAGAGAAAGAAATGCAGGACCGAAGCCAATGAGCCCCGAGCGCGTAGGTCCTCAGCCACAGGCGCAGCTGATAGGGAAGGAACTAGCACATGAAGCAGAACCCGCGCAAATATCCCGCAGAAGAGCTGGAGCGAAAAGGCACTCATTAAGGTGTGCAAAATTGCCACCCAGGTAAACCTGGACCACAGTCAATGCCTCATGCCACTCAAGCGTGTGGGTGTAATAGAAGGTGTCCCAAGCATCAATCGAAAGCAGAGGGCAGCCCGCAAGCCAGAAAGACTCCAGAACCTCATAACGAACCCAGTAAGTACACGAAGACGAAAACCTGAAGGAACACTGGGGGGTCTCTATAGGCCATTGCTCCTCGTGCCTCTCTGAAGGGGCCAGGTTCTGGCTTGTGGTCCCCAGTAGGCCTAGAACTCCACCCACAGACTGATGCCAAAGTTATGGATATCCATATCAGCCATGGATAGCTCCGTGGAGCCATAGGGGCTCCCCCCACAAAAGCAATTTAGGTAAGAGGAGTATTAAACTTAAAATTAAAAAAAAGTTAAGTACTGTACAGTATTATATAATTTAATCTACTGGTATTTACAAAATGAAACTGCCATTTGAAAAACAGATTACTGTATTATACAAAGATCATTAGATTACAACATTTATATACTGTATAGGTGGTTCACTAACCCTTGGGCCTTTCATCTGTTCAACACGCTCATCAGATGTGAAAGGAATGAGGCCAATGCGATGTGCAATGAACTCGTCACTCAAGACTGTAGAATTCTCCTCGAGTTGAACCCAATCAATTGCTATAGTGGGAGTTTCGGCCATAAAAATTCGCCGGATACTATTCGCCACACTGTAAACAAAATATTAAGGAAAAATTTTAAAAATATTTTGCATTAAAATATATTAACATTTTGATATGATGCAAACTATTGATGAAATAAATTGAGATTGAATTCAGCTACTATACTGTATATCCTCAAAACACCAGTGTTGAATGTAATGAAACGCCATTTTCTGGGTGAGCCCCGGAGGCTCCCTGGAGCTTATCGGACTAATGTATGTTTTATTAGACCGGGATATTAGCTAAGAAGTTCAGACCTACCAGGGACCAGCGCCAGAACCTGGCCCCTTCAGAGAGGTTTCATGGAGTAATGGACCTGAAAAACCCTCTTGTGGTTGGGGTTTTCCTTATCTGCCATTGACCGGGGTCAGGCACCCAGAAAGGTAGGCATGACAAAACAAACCCCACATGGTAAAAAACTAAAAAAAAAACGAACAGAGAGGTAGAAACTCCCTACAATCCCAAGGAAACAAGCAAACATCACACTTTACTGCCGTGCCGATTGTCCTTGCAGCCCTCCCCGCCCTGAGCGGGGAAGGGGGAAGCCCAGGACCTACCGTGCTGGCTGCCAAGCTTTAGTTCGGAAACCAAGCTTCAACCAACGCGAAAAAAATGCCGACCGGTGGGAGGGAGGGTTGCCAGGGAGCCTCCGGGGCTCACCCAGAAAATGGCATTTCATTACATTCAATGCTGGTTTTCTGTGGGGAGCCCCTACGGCTCCCTGGAGCTACATACCCAAAGAGAAGGAAAAGAAAGGGCTAACCCGGGAGGAGGCTGCCACAAACTCCGCAACGCGAAGCTGAGACAACAGGATGCAACCTGCAACCCAAGGCAACAAGAACGCACAGGAGCAGACGCGCATAAAGAATGGGCGGCCAAGAACCTGTGCGACCCTCAATTCCCTGCGCCCAAAATGAGCCCTAGACGTCACCAACACAGCAGCAAAAGCTGCAAACGGTTGATCCGGCACTCCTTAAGAAAATGATCTAGTTTTCTCTTGATGTCCACGGTTGTTCCGGCAATATTTCTTATGCTTGCTGGAAGGATGTTGAACAACCATGGACCTCTGATGTTTATAGTGTTCTCTGATTGTGCCTATGGCACCCATGCTCTTCACTGGGATAGACCCTACATCTAACTGAAGTGAACACAAGCATCAGGTGTAAGCATATGCTCAAACATCTTGCCCTGCCCAGGAATCGAACCTGGGACCTTTCAGTTATGCAAAAGAACAACCTCGTGGTAATATATTATTTATGAAATATGACATTTCTTGATTATTATTGATAACATTTTTAACATTTTTGGATTTGCTTATATAATCAATTATTTTTGTAACAAGTTAGGGTACACACTTACACCAGAGGAACAGAAACAGGGGTAACATTGGCAGCATATGCCCTAGCAAATTGTTTTCATCGTTTCAGGACGATAAGAACATCGCTTAGGAACCTGAATCAGAACGTCTGTTCTCAAGTCCTCGTTCTCGACTCACATTCGAGAATTCCTGCTTCGAATCCCAGGCAGGACAAACAGTTGGACGCATATACTATCTCCTTCTGACTCTGTTCACCTAGCAGCAAGTAGGTACCCAGGAGTTAGTCAGCTTGTTGTGGAGTTGCATCTTTGGGAAGAAAGGGGGGACCTCAATATAAGCCAAATACTGTATGTATAAACACAAACTAGCTGCCTGTCCCCCGACACACTGAATTAAAATTAATCTACACAACATTTGTTTGACCAATACTAGAATATGCATCACTGACATTGAATCTGCACCTTGTGAAGTATAAAGCCAAAATTGAAGACATACAACGGTTCACAACAAAATTGGTGTCGGAGCTAAGAGGGCTAAGCTACAATCATAAGCTAATGGAACTAAATCTCACAAAATAAAGTGCCATCCACACTTGTGGAAATAAACCTGCCACCAAAATTCCAGTTTGGCAGAAGGATGCTGCTTCTGGAAACTTTCCTTTTTAAGACTGCTCATAGCCCAGTTGATAGAGCTACGGCCTCACACGTGTGGGGTCCACGGTTCAAGACCTATACAGGCCAGGTGAATAAATCTCTCAGCCTTAAAGGATAGAAGGAACAAATGGGATATTATCAACTTACAGGATACTGAGGGGAATAGATAACGTGCACAAGTATAGCCTCTTCAGATTGAGAGAATGCAAGACAAGAGGACACAGGTGCAAGCTGGAAGCGCGAATGACTGGCTGTTAAAAACAAAAATGTTTTTACAGCCAAAAGGTCGAAGGAAGGTATTCGTACCCTGTATGGGGTAGTTAACAAGTGGAATGCTCTAAAACGAGGAGGTTGTGGGAGCCACTTCCATCCACAACTTTAAAGCCTAATTTGACAAAAGAATTTGAAAGTTGAAATGCAGCAGGGACAAGGCTAGTAGGTGGGGCATAAAGAGCTAACTCACTTCCCTGTAAACACTGATAGGTAAGCACAGCAGTATGTTTCTGCTCTACTCTATATGGAGTGGGGGGGGGTTAGGGTATAGATCTAGAGCTACATATATGCTCAATGTCCCCATCTCACAGGATGGTTAAGTCATGCATGGGATCAGAGAAAAAACGAGCCATGTCTAGCATACTAGCTCGCATTAGCAAACTTTGGGTAGTGTTATAATACTGTACCTTCCAATATCCAAGTATGAATTAAATAATTACAAGGCTCAAAGTATCTCTTGCGCTCATTTGGTAAAAAATAATTGATAGAGGGAGTAAGAATAGTTTTGCTCAAGTTCACATTTAGTCAGATGTCCTTACAAGTTTACAAGACCCGCCGCACCAAACTTTATGATCTCTCTAGCATGTACATGCTCCAAGATATTTCCCAATTCACGATCTTTGGAACATTCTTTTCGTTACTTAACAAAAAATCTCAAGTCTATAGTTCCCACCCGCATTATGTGCCTCTGCAACCCTTCTACCACTCAAAAGAGATGTATATTAGGGATCATAATAAATCAAATATCCGCGAGTTTTCCACTGTTAGGCTACTTACCCAAACATGATAGCCATACACGTGCCTTAGGAGAAGAGTAATTTGTTCGTCAATTAAAATGCTGTTTATATTTTCATGGGTCTGTTTCCGTAAGAGGCATATTTTTCTTTATAATATGATTCTAAGCCCCGAAAATGTGACATCAGACATCAACAAAAACAAGCGCTTGCCATGGAGGAGCCCGCTCATGTATTTGAACTTTCTCTAGTAAAAACACACATGCAACTACAGGGACGAGGGCAGCCCAATGCAAGCCATACCTTAGATCTGTGTCTTCTATGTAAAACTTGATGTTCTCCTCTGAGAGTTCGGTGAGGTTGAGGGAGGGTTGGTTGGCGTAGGGCATTGTGGTGGTGAAGAGTGTAGTGTCTCTCCTGGGTGACGGCGTCAGCTGGGACCCGCCTCGCTCCTCACCAGGGTTGCCCGATACAAATTGCTGAAAGTAGCGAGCTGACGGTCAAAAAGTAGCGAATTAGTAATAAGAGTAGCCTAATTTTTTGTTGAGTGACTGACACGGGTTTCAAAGTAATATATTTTGATAAATAGAGTACACTACACGATGTTAAACAATTTATTCATATTATTTCTGCACACACACACATACAAAAAGAAACCCGGATTTCTAGCAAACATATAAACATATTTCACACATATAAACATATAAACGGAGCTCTACAAATCAAGGGACCCAGAATGTGGAATGACCTTCCCAATCATGTTAAAGACTGTACCTCTCTCAACCAGTTTAAGATAAAAACTAAGCACTACCTAATAAATTCCCTGTAACCTACCTTACCCCTATGTTGTCAACCCATGTCTTTTTTTAAACAACGATGTTTGTCGACCTAATTGTATTTGTGCTGCTTTTTCTGACATGTTCCCCTCATTTTTATATTTATTTTTATTTGTTCTCAACACATTTTATCCTTTAATTCAATTAGTATTAAGTTTTAGTCTTTAATGTTTTCCTGCCCGAAACGCTTTGCGTAATAATGGCTTTAGGCATTGAATGTACTAGCTCTTTCTACAAATCTATCAATTTTTGTATAACCTCTTGTACGTATTTCACCTAAATAAACATTTAGTTATTTATTATTTATTATAGAGCCTTAGCAAACAAACCTGGAGCACTAGTACACAAACAACCGCTGGTACCCACCCGGAGCCCGACCAGTCAAACACCCGGAGCCCGCCAGTTTAGTAAACCGGAGCCCGCCAGTTGAGTGAACTGGAACCCGTCAGTTGAGTTCCTGGAGCCTGCCCCGAGCCCTACCGAGAACCGACCCTGAGCCCGACCAAGAACCTACCACGAGCCCTACAGAGGTTCCCCAAGCCCGAGAGCCTATCCCGATCCCGAAAGAGCCCACCCCGAGCCTGACCGGGAGCCAACCCCAAAACCTACCAAAAACCCACCCCCAAGCCCTACCAAGAACCCACCCCCAAGCCCTACCAAGAACCCAGACCTAATACCTACCAAGAACCCACCCCAAGCCCTACCAAGAACCCACCCGAAGCTGGACAGACACCCACCTGGAGCCCGAACAGTCACCCACCCGGAGCCCGACCAGTCAAACACCCGGAGCCCGCCAGTTTAGTAAACCGGAGCCCGCCAGTTGAGTGAACCGGAGCCCGCCAGTTGAGTGAACTGGAACCCGTCAGTTGAGTACCTGGAGCCCGCCCCGAGCCCTACCAAGAACCAACCCTGAGCCCGACCAAGAACCTACCCCGAGCCCTACAGAGGTTCCCCAAGCCCGAGAGCCTATCCCGATCCCGAAAGAGCCCACCCCGAGCCCTACCGAGAACCCACCCCCCAAGCCCTACCGAGAACCCACCCCCCAAGCCCTACCGAGAACCCACCCCCCAAGCCCTACCAAAACCCACTCCCAAGCCCTACCAAGAACCCAGTCTTAATACCTACCAAGAACCCACCCCAAGCCCTACCAAGAACCCACCCGAAGCTGGACAGACACCCACCTGGAGCCCGAACAGTCACCCACCCGGAGCCCGACCAGTCAAACACCCGGAGCCCGCCAGTTTAGTAAACCGGAGCCCGCCAGTTGAGTGAACCGGAGCCCGCCAGTTGAGTGAACTGGAACCCGTCAGTTGAGTACCTGGAGCCCGCCCCGAGCCCTACCGAGAACCCACCCTGAGCCCGACCAAGAACCTACCCCGAGCCCTACAGAGGTTCCCCAAGCCCGAGAGCCTATCCCGATCCCGAAAGAGCCCACCCCGACCCCTACCGAGAACCCACCCCCCAAGCCCTACCGAGAACCCACCCCCCAAGCCCTACCGAGAACCCACGCCCCCAAGCCCTACCGAGAACCCACCCCCCCAAGCCCTACCGAGAACCCACCCCCCCCAAGCCCTACCGAGAACCCACCCCCCCAAGCCCTACCGAGAACCCACCCCCCCAAGCCCTACCGAGAACCCACCCCCCCAAGCCCTACCGAGAACCCACTCCCCCAAGCCCTACCGAGAACCCACCCCCCCCAAGCCCTACCGAGAACCCACCCCCCCAAACCCTACCGAGAACCCACCCCCAAGCCCTACCGAGAACCCAGCCCTAAGCCCTACCGAGAACCCAGCCCAAAGCCCTACCGAGAACCCAGCCCCAATACCTACCAAGAACCCACCCCAAGCCCTACCAAGGACCCACCCGAAGCCGGACAGACACCCACCTGGAGCCCGAACAGTCACCCACCCGGAGCCCGACCAGTCAAACACCCGGAGCCCGCCAGTTTAGTAAACCGGAGCCCGCCAGTTGAGTGAACCGGAGCCCGCCAGTTGAGTGAACTGGAACCCGTCAGTTGAGTACCTGGAGCCTGCCCCGAGCCCTACCGAGAACCGACCCCGAGCCCGACCAAGAACCTACCCCGAGCCCTACAGAGGTTCCCCAAGCCCGAGAGCCTATCCCGATCCCGAAAGAGCCCACCCCGAGCCTGACCGGGAGCCAACCCCAAAACCTACCAAAAACCCACCCCCAAGCCCTACCAAGAACCCACCCCCAAGCCCTACCAAGAACCCAGCCCTAATACCTACCAAGAACCCACCCCAAGCCCTACCAAGAACCCACCCGAAGCTGGACAGACACCCACCTGGAGCCCGAACAGTCACCCACCCGGAGCCCGACCAGTCAAACACCCGGAGCCCGCCAGTTTAGTAAACCGGAGCCCGCCAGTTGAGTGAACCGGAGCCCGCCAGTTGAGTGAACTGGAACCCGTCAGTTGAGTACCTGGAGCCCGCCCCGAGCCCTACCGAGAACCCACCCTGAGCCCGACCAAGAACCTACCCTGAGCCCTACAGAGGTTCCCCAAGCCCGAGAGCCTATCCCGATCCCGAAAGAGCCCACCCCGAGCCCTACCGAGAACACACCCCCCAAGCCCTACCGAGAACCCACCCCCCAAGCCCTACCGAGAACCCACCCCCCAAGCCCTACCAAAACCCACCCCCAAGCCCTACCAAGAACCCAGTCTTAATACCTACCAAGAACCCACCCCAAGCCCTACCAAGAACCCACCCGAAGCTGGACAGACACCCACCTGGAGCCCGAACAGTCACCCACCCGGAGCCCGACCAGTCAAACACCCGGAGCCCGCCAGTTTAGTAAACCGGAGCCCGCCAGTTGAGTGAACCGGAGCCCGCCAGTTGAGTGAACTGGAACCCGTCAGTTGAGTACCTGGAGCCCGCCCCGAGCCCTACCGAGAACCCACCCTGAACCCGACCAAGAACCTACCCCGAGCCCTACAGAGGTTCCCCAAGCCCGAGAGCCTATCCCGATCCCGAAAGAGCCCACCCCGACCCCTACCGAGAACCCACCCCCCAAGCCCTACCGAGAACCCACCCCCCCAAGCCCTACCGAGAACCCACGCCCCCAAGCCCTACCGAGAACCCCCCCCCCCCCAAGCCCTACCGAGAACCCACCCCCCCCAAGCCCTACCGAGAACCCACCCCCCCAAGCCCTACCGAGAACCCACCCCCCCAAGCCCTACCGAGAACCCACCCCCCCAAGCCCTACCGAGAACCCACCCCCCCAAGCCCTACCGAGAACCCACTCCCCCAAGCCCTACCGAGAACCCACCCCCCCAAGTCCTACCGAGAACCCACCACCCCAAACCCTACCGAGAACCCACCCCCAAGCCCTACTGAGAACCCAGCCCTAAGCCCTACCAAGAACCCAGCCCCAATACCTACCAAGAACCCACCCCAAGCCCTACCAAGGACCCACCCGAAGCCGGACAGACACCCACCTGGAGCCCGAACAGTCACCCACCCGGAGCCCGACCAGTCAAACACCCGGAGCCCGCCAGTTTAGTAAACCGGAGCCCGCCAGTTGAGTGAACCGGAGCCCGCCAGTTGAGTGAACTGGAACCCGTCAGTTGAGTACCTGGAGCCCGCCCCGAGCCCTACCGAGAACCCACCCTGAACCCGACCAAGAACCTACCCCGAGCCCTACAGAGGTTCCCCAAGCCCGAGAGCCTATCCCGATCCCGAAAGAGCCCACCCCGACCCCTACCGAGAACCCACCCCCCAAGCCCTACCGAGAACCCACCCCCCCAAGCCCTACCGAGAACCCACGCCCCCAAGCCCTACCGAGAACCCCCCCCCCCCAAGCCCTACCGAGAACCCACCCCCCCCAAGCCCTACCGAGAACCCACCCCCCCAAGCCCTACCGAGAACCCACCCCCCCAAGCCCTACCGAGAACCCACCCCCCCAAGCCCTACCGAGAACCCACCCCCCCAAGCCCTACCGAGAACCCACTCCCCCAAGCCCTACCGAGAACCCACCCCCCCAAGTCCTACCGAGAACCCACCACCCCAAACCCTACCGAGAACCCACCCCCAAGCCCTACTGAGAACCCAGCCCTAAGCCCTACCAAGAACCCAGCCCCAATACCTACCAAGAACCCACCCCAAGCCCTACCAAGGACCCACCCGAAGCCGGACAGACACCCACCTGGAGCCCGAACAGTCACCCACCCGGAGCCCGACCAGTCAAACACCCGGAGCCCGCCAGTTTAGTAAACCGGAGCCCGCCAGTTGAGTGAACCGGAGCCCGCCAGTTGTGTGAACTGGAACCCGTCAGTTGAGTACCTGGAGCCTGCCCCGAGCCCTACCGAGAACCCACCCTGAGCCCGACCAAGAACCTACCCCGAGCCCTACAGAGGTTCCCCAAGCCCGAGAGCCTATCCCGATCCCGAAAGAGCCCACCCCGAGCCCTACCGAGAACCCACTCCCCCAAGCCCTACCGAGAACCCACCCCCCAAGCCCTACCGAGAACCCACCCCCCCAAACCCTACCGAGAACCCAGCCCAAAGCCCTACCGAGAACCCAGCCCAAAGCCCAACCGAGAACCCAGCCCCAATACCTACCAAGAACCCACCCCAAGCCCTACCAAGGACCCACCCGAAGCCGGACAGACACCCACCTGGAGCCCGAACAGTCACCCACCCGGAGCCCGACCAGTCAAACACCCGGAGCCCGCCAGTTTAGTAAACCGGAGCCCGCCAGTTGAGTGAACCGGAGCCCGCCAGTTGTGTGAACTGGAACCCGTCAGTTGAGTACCTGGAGCCCGCCCCGAGCCCGACCGAGAACCCACCCAGAGCCCTACCGAGAACCCACCCCCCAAGCCCTACCAAGAACCCACCCCCCAAGCCCTACCGAGAACCCACCCCCCAAGCCCTACCGAGAACCCAGCCCCAAGCCCTACCGAGAACCCAGCCCCAAGCCCTACCGAGAACCCAGCCCCAAGCCCTACCGAGAACCCAGCCCCAAGCCCTACCGAGAACTCAGCCCCAAGCCCTACCGAGAACTCAGCCCCAAGCCCTACCGAGAACCCACCCCCAAGCCCTACCGAGAACCCACCCCAAGCCCTACCGAGAACCCACCCACAAGCCCTACCGAGAACCCACCCGAAGCCGGACAGACACCCACCTGGAGCCCGAACAGTCACCCACCCGGAGCCCGACCAGTCAAACACCCGGAGCCCGCCAGTTTAGTAAACCGGAGCCCGCCAGTTGAGTGAACCGGAGCCCGCCAGTTGTGTGAACTGGAACCCGTCAGTTGAGTACCTGGAGCCCGCCCCGAGCCCGACCGAGAACCCACCCAGAGCCCTACCGAGAACCCACCCCCCAAGCCCTACCAAGAACCCACCCCCAAGCCCTACCGAGAACCCACCCCCCAAGCCCTACCGAGAACCCAGCCCCAAGCCCTACCGAGAACCCAGCCCCAAGCCCTACCGAGAACCCAGCCCCAAGCCCTACCGAGAACTCAGCCCCAAGCCCTACCGAGAACTCAGCCCCAAGCCCTACCGATAACTCAGCCCCAAGCCCTACCGAGAACCCACCCCCAAGCCCTACCGAGAACCCACCCCAAGCCCTACCGAGAACCCACCCACAAGCCCTACCGAGAACCCACCCGAAGCCGGACAGACACCCACCTGGAGCCCGAACAGTCACCCACCCGGAGCCCGACCAGTCAAACACCCGGAGCCCGCCAGTTTAGTAAACCGGAGCCCGCCAGTTGAGTGAACCGGAGCCCGCCAGTTGTGTGAACTGGAACCCGTCAGTTGAGTACCTGGAGCCCGCCCCGAGCCCGACCGAGAACCCACCCAGAGCCCTACCGAGAACCCACCCTGATCCCTACAGAGAACCCACCCCTAGTCCTACCATGAAAACACCCTGAGCCCTACAGAGAACCCACCCTGGGCCCGACCAAGAACCTACCCCGAGCCCTACAGAGGTACCCCAAGCCCGAGAGCCCATCCCGAACCCGAAAGAGCCCACCCTGAGCCTGACCGGGAGCCAACCCTGAGTCCTACCAAGAACCCACCCCGAAGCCCTACCAAGAACATACCCGAAGCCGGACAGACACCCACCTGGAGCCCGAACAGTCACCCACCCGGAGCCCGACCAGTCAAACACCCGGAGCCCGCCAGTTTAATAAACCGGAGCCCGCCAGTTGAGTGAACCCACCCCGAGCCCTACCAAGAACCCACCCCGAGCCCTACCAAGAACCCACCCCGAGCCCTACAGAGAACCCAACCCCCCCGAGCCCGAAAACTAAACTATTGCAGTATTTGTACATTGGCCTGTCGCTTGTCACTAAACTTAGTTGTTAACTATTAACTTGATGAAATAATATCATCTTATACGCGAGAATAATTCTGAATACACAGCGATAAAATTGACGAATGCGGCTTTGGGTCGGGCGGCCACGGAGGCGAGCCTGGCCTGAGGACAGGCAACTGCAAATGCTTCACCCTCCACATACTTTAAGTGCAAATAATTGCCAACAGAACCTAAATACCGAACCTACTATCCGCCTAATTAATTATAGAATATAAAATTAATTTATACACAATAAAAACAATTTGTAATACACAGTACATGAAAGACGATAATAAATGCGTTTTGGGATGTGGGGGAGACGACCACCGCGTTAACGAGCCTAGCCTGACGACGGGGTAGTTTAACACTGGGAAGTGTATTCTACATAATATCCTACGCATATAATGTTGGAAAATCATGATCCTCAAAATTTCCCACAATATCCAAGAGAGGACGGACTATTTAGCATTAATGGAATACAAACATTTGAATACTACAGAACCCGGATGAAAAAAATACGGAAACAATGACCCTCCAATGACCCTTGAGACATTACAAAACTCAATGTTATAATAGCGATCAAATGTATAATGCATTAAGCATTGTAGGTGGAGGTAGACTATACATTCATGCGCACGTCCCAACTGTTCAGATATATTTGAAAAACCAAAACTTATCAGCCTTACCTACACGGGAGCGACGTGCTCACACCGCCGCTGCTTCCTAACGACTGACGGGTCGTCGTCGAAGACCCGTAGCGACCAACCGAGCCAGAGACTCCCTGCCTAAAATTATTTGAACACCATATTGAAATTCCTAGCGTATAGCGCCAGGAATGTGTAAATTAATATTTATAGGCATTATAGGCCTTTCTAAAGTAATTTATAGATCTGAATATCATATATTGTCTAACAAACGAATTATTTAAGTTAAGATTTTAATTATGCCAGATACACGTCTCATCGAGGCACAAAATCGGTTTAGGAACTCAGATTCAGATTCAGATGTTTATTCAGGTAAGGTATATACATACAAGTGATGTTACATTAATGGATTGATATATAGATAGAGCTAGTACACACAATGCCTAAAGCCACTATTACGCAATGCGTTTCGGGCAAACTCCGTTAGCCGTTAAGTCTCATCGCACACAAGAAGATTCGTCGGCGGATTTTTTTTTTATTTATATATAAAAAAAGTTTTTAAATTCTTGTAAAGCCACTAGCACGCATAGCGTTTCCTTAATCCTAATTTTTTCCCCAGAATACGACCCGCCAAATCGTTTAACAACCTATTTACTGCTGGGTGAACAGTTAAGGAATGACCGGGCGCCAACGCCCGGTCAATCCTTCCCGGCCAAGATACGAACCCAGTTCAAAGGGCTAACGATGAGCCGGCGCGTGCTTTACCACTGCGCCACAGAGACTGCTCCCTGGCGTAGTGGAATTTTGAATTTTGAAACCTGACTAACATAGCTCAACCCAACTTAACGTAACCCAAATCAAACCAATCTAATTCAACCGAGCCCAATGCAGCCTAACCTTAATAACATAGCCTAATACAGCCTAGCATAATGTAGCGAGTAGATTATCCCAATAATATACTCGCTCCAAATGCATTGTTAATATTCCTGTCAACCTTTGGAGATGAATGAGGTGAGGCGTTGCCCGGGCAACACGGTGAGGTGTTGCCCGGGCCATTACCGTACTGGACCATTACCGTACCAACTGTCAGTGCGCTCAACTCACACCAAAGTATCACCTGTGTACTTCTGTATATTCGACCAAATATATATATAGTATCTTAGTGTCTGTGTTTATTTGTCACCATACTTTACGTAACAATAGAACCGTTACACCGTTACAATAACAATACATCAGGATTTAAAACAGAAAATAATGAGTTTAGCCGAATCGTCTCGTGTCCGAGTGTAACAAGAACCCGACCAGTTGTGTACCTATACTGACCTAGCAAACAAACACCTGCAGACGAGGAGTCTCAATAACGTGGCTGAAATATGTTGACCAAACCACACACTAGAAAGTGAAGGGACGACGACGTTTCGGTCTGTTCTGGACCATTCTCAAGTAGATTGTGAGAATGCACAATTGACTTGAGAATGGTCCAGGACGGACCGAAACGTCGTCGTCCCTTCACTTTCTAGTGTGTGGTTTGGTTAACAAACACCTCACCTAACCAGACAAACACCCCCCCCCCTTACTCTACCAAGCACACTGATATCCGTACCAAAGTAGGGAGGGTCCACATACGAGAACGTGGTTGTAAGTATAGGTCCACACACATGGGCCCCAGTGCCCATCATCTGGGTTAGAGGGCAACAGTGCATTGCTTTGCTCAGAGAGTATAATGCTGCTAACACAGCACTGCCTTCAATAAGCAAATTTTTCAGGATTATTTAATTAGCTAAGATTTACTTGAATTTACCAGTCACTATCTCAGTGAGGATAGGAAGCCGACGGCTTGTCAAATGTCCCCTATTTGTCCTGGTGATTTTATCGAGCAATGTTTTGGCATTTACGGCTTCGGCGGGTATACGTTTCCACAACGTTATAATTCTATGGGTGAAAACAAATATTTTCCATCCTTCAGTGTGGCTTGTTGAGCTGGAAACCGTTGCTCCTTGTTCGTCTTACATCTAGCCTTTTGAAGAAGTGTTCTGGGTCAATATCTTCCAAATTATTCAATAATTTAAATGTTTTGCTGAGAGCAGCCCTGTCATGTCTGGTCCCTGTGGCCCTCAACCGTCCCTGGTATGAAAGTCGACTTAGTTCGGGAAAGATTTTAGTCGCCCGGTGTTGAACTTTCTCCAAAGCAGATATGTCTTTCTGAAGACGAGGTCTCAATGCGTGGATATAATAATCCAAGCGGAAGCACACCAGATATTTATACAGTTGTATAAAGTACCTTTTCCTTCGTCAAAATTTCGTTTGACTATTCCAAAGGATTTGGTTTGCTTTTATAACTGCAGCTTCCACTTGTTGTACAACTATCAGGGATTGGTGGATTCTGACTCCAAGATAATGTTGATGATTTGGTAGTTGTGCATTGTTAAGTCCCACATGGGTGAAAAAAATCTCCTGTTTTCTGTCCTAAGTTGTAGCTTGTTGAACTTGAAATCGTTGTTCCTTATTTGTGATTGATTGATGAAGATTAAGCTACCCAAGAGGTGGCACAGGCATGAATAGCCTGTAAGTGGAAGATTTTTTTGGAGTGAATGTGATCTTTGGTCGTAAAAGTATATATTGCGTGCTGTGCTCGCATTTAAATTGTCAGTCTGTGGCTGCTATCGCGGGGTGCTTGTTTGTGTTGCATCTGACCATAAATAATCATCATTGAGTTGCTTAACTCAATGATTAATAGCCCAAATTAGCCCAACTTGCTTTAAATTAGCCCAAAAAGTAGCAAGTAGCGAAATTAAAAATTTGGGAGCGTGGGGCTCTCAAAAGTAGCCCAATTCGCTACTTGTAGCCCAATCTGGCAACCCTGCTCCTCACTACAGTTGCCGCCGCTTTCATTTTGGGTATTATTATTTATATACTCAACAGTTCTTACATTCTTATAAAGCCTCTAGCGCGCAGAGTGATTCGGAAAGGTCCTTAATCTTAATTTCCTCTGTAATACGGCCCGCCAAATGATACCCATTCCCTGCTGGATGAACAGAGACTATAGTTAAGGAGTTTAGTTTAGTTCATTTATTATGCACCCCATACCAATCTTGTGGGCGGTAGTGGAAAGGGTTACAGAGGCACATAATGGGCTCAGGGACTGAACCCCACAATTCATTTAGCTAAGCAAGTTACAAAGATAGAGCTGATAAGTTAGCCAAAGAATCTGCCTTTAAAGGAGCCGTTGAGTGTAACCTTGGATTGTCAATGAGCAATCTGAGAGCAGTAGTACACCGAGAACTTCAACAAGATCTTGTAGATCTGAGGCAAAGTGAAATTGACACCAGTAATTCCATCTATCATCATACTATCATGCAAGAGGAGCCACACATCTATGGATCATCCAATAAAATCAGCAGACTTCTAGATGTTACTACTGCTCGGCTTAGACTCGGTTACAAGTATCTCTGGGAATTCTCATTATCTGCCGATGTAGACCTGACCAAATGTAAACTGTGTCAACAAAATTATTCGCACACCCTCCGTCACTATGTGATGGAGTGCGAAAAGATACATGAATTTAGAGACAACTCTATAACCAATATCTACAGTTAAGGATTTATTTATATGTACAGTATACAAGAAGGTACATTGGGTTTATGAGAGTACATAGTTTAGTTTAGTTCATTTATTATGCACCCCATACCCATCTTGTGGGCGGTAGTGGAAAGGGTTACAGAGGCACATAATGGGCTCTGGGACTGAACCCCACAATTCATTTAGCTAAGCAAGTTACAATCTTGATGAGCTAGTTACAAAATTCAATATAAGTCGTCACATCAACAATGGGTTCGAGATCGACCTCAAGTACAGGTTCTAAATTAAGCAACTGACATATGTGGAGAGCTAGTGTCAAAATTTATATGTTTGTCCTGCACACCGCCCCCCATCCAGTGGGCAGCGGTGGATAGGTTACAATCACTTAGTTACTACCTACAGTTAGCAAACTGGGGATATTTGGCTAAAATTTCTGGTAGCAGATCATTTTGAATGAAATATTGACACATCGCTGGAACATTGGTTATAGAATTGTCTCTAAATTCACGTATCTTTTCGCACTCCATCACATAGTGACGGAGGGTGTGCGAATAATTTTGTTGACACAGTTTACATTTGGTCAGGTCTACATCAGCAGATAATGAGAATTCCCAGAGATACTTGTAACCGAGTCTAAGCCGAGCAGTAGTAACATCTAGAAGTCTGCTGATTTTATTGGATGATCCATAGATGTGTGGCTCCTCTTGCATGATAGTATGATGATAGATGGAATTACTGGTGTCAATTTCACTTTGCCTCAGATCTACAAGATCTTGTTGAAGTTCTCGGTGTACTGCTGCTCTCAGATTGCTCATTGACAATCCAAGGTTACACTCAACGGCTCCTTTAAAGGCAGATTCTTTGGCTAACTTATCAGCTCTATCATGCATTCGGAGGCCAACATGAGATGGAGACCACATGAAATGGACTCTGTTACCATCCTTAATAATTTTGTTGTATTTGTGTCTAGCTTCGGACACGAGCATGTTACAGTTATGTCTTAAAGAGTTGAGAGCATTTAAGGATGATAAGGAGTCACTTACAATTAATGTATCAAGTTTTGAGACTTGTACACATTTCAGTGCAAGGATCAAGGCAAATAGTTCAGTCTGAAGGGTAGAGGCCCAGTTGTTTATACGGACTCCCCACTCAAAGTATAGGCCATCGCCCATTGTCAGGACAACTGCACTTCCAGCTGCACCCGTGGTGCGGTGTAGGGAACCATCAGTGTATATAATTTGAGAGAGAGAATGCTCTGTGGACAGAGCATCAATATGGCTTAAGGCGTTGAGCTTTGCCTCAAGACGAAGCTTGGGCTGATCTCTAATTTGCTTCTTGGGTGGAAAGGGAGGGATTAAAACTGGAAAGGGTGTAACCTCCCACGGTGCAGGAAAGTGCCGCTGTTGTTTCTCTTGGTACAAATCATGAACCTGATACATTCTGAGTTGAGTTCCAGTTTTTGTTATCCATTTGGAACAATGCTGATCTTCAATAAAGAAATTCTGGAGGGCTTCTGTGCAAGGATTAGGATGAGTTAGCCTAAGCATTTTTATACCAATTTGAC